AGGATTTTGGCTCTACTCTGAGTAGCGAAGCCATTACAGACTTTGGAGCAGAGGACTGATGTTAATTGACCTTTCAAAGGGGTCAGTCTGGCCACTACATTGGGGACAGGCTGTAAGGAGGCAAGAGTAGAAGCAGACAACTGTTCTGGGGTGCAGTATTAGAGGTGATAGCAGCTGGATGAGATGGTAGCAGTGAAGATAATAGAAATTATTTTATTCTAGATATATTTGGGCAGATTTTATGTGAAATATGAGAAAAAAAGGGAACTCAAAAACTGACTCCAATTTTTTTAAATGTGATCCCAAAGTTTTTGCTTCATACATCTGAAAGGATAGGGTTTCTATGAGCTGAGGTAAGAAAGGCCTCAGGTGGAACAGGTCTGAAGACAATATCAGCAGTTCAGTTTGGGGCATGTTGAGTTTGACAAGCTCAGGTAGAGTTTCAAACACATTGTGTTTGATGCACTGAAGTGGAGACGATGAGTTGGAAGTATGGACCTGGGGTTTGGAAATAATTTTACTTGACAATAGGAGTTTAGGAGTCATAGGTGTATAGATGATTCTCGAAGCCATAAGACTGGATGAGATCACCAAGAGAAGTCCACATAGAGAAGAGTGCCAAGGACTGAGCCCTGGGAGACATCAACTTCAACAGTTAAAGAGGAAGTATTTGCAAAGGAGATGGAAATGGGACAAATAATTAGGCAAGGAGATTGAAGAAGAGAAAATTTGGTGTCCTGGAAGCCAAGTGAAAAAGTGTGTCAAGAAGGAATGTGTTTGATGAGTAAGATAAGATGAGAATTGTTGAATTTAGTAATATAGACATCGTTCGAGACCTTGAAAGGAGAAGTTTTGGTGCAGCAATGGAACAAAAGCCTGATTAGAGAGGGTTTAAGGTAGAATGAGTCAAGAGAACTTGATAATAGGAAACTATCTAGGAGTTTATCTACAGAGGGGAGAAAATAAGCAGGATGGTAACTGGCAAGGTAAGCAGAGCCAAGAGAGGTGGTCTTGGCTTTTTTTAAGTAGGAGAAATAGCATTGCTTTGCTTATAGGAGTGAAGAGTTGATGATGAAGGGTGTATAGCAGAGGATTGCTGGAGTGGTAGCCTGGAGTAGGCAAGAGGAGACGAGCTCTGGTCTCTTGGAGGAACTGGCTCTAGAGTGAATAGTTCTATGCCAATAGGTAGGAAGGCAGAATGTATGGATAAAGATGTTAAAAGATGAGTTTAAAAATGGTGAAGGGACCAAATCCAAGTTCTCTTCTGATTGCCTTCATTTTCTTACAAAGTAGAAAGTAAATCCTACTGAGAGTGAGTTTGGGAATCTACTCATGCAGTACATTGTGTTGATAGATTTTGGGATCTTGACCTATCTTCGCACTTTTGGAATACACACTTTCTTAATGTATTTTTAAAATATATTTGTGAATTCAGTTAACTAATATCTTTTTTAGGACTTCCAAATAAACATTTATAAGTGAATGGGCTTACATGGGTTTTCTTTTAACAAATCATATTGTTCTTATCTAGTTTTGGAATAAAAAATATACTAGGTTCATAAAATATACTGGGAAGCTTTTTCTCTTTTCTTCTTTCTTTTTGAACGAGTATATGATTAGAACTTTTCTTGAAAAGCAGGTAGAACCTAACTCTAAGATCATCTATGTCTATCCTTTTAAATTTTCTGTGCCAATTAAGGCATCTTGTTATTTTTCTAAAGATTCATCCATTTCATCTTGATTTTTAAATGTGTAACATTCATAATATTCATTTATTTTAAATACTTTATATATCTGTTCTTTTTTGTTGTTGTTGTTCCTTTTCATCTCTTCTTTCTTGATTAGTCTGGCTAGAGTTGTATCTACTTCATTAATCCTTTTAAAGAACCAAGTTTTGGGTTTCTAAACATTTATAGTGTTTTGGTTCTGTAGTTCATTGAGTTCTCACCTTATTACTTTGAGTCTTTTCTATTGTTCTTTTTCAAATTCATAAATCTGAATACTCATGTTTAACCTTCCCTGTTTTCTGGTGAGGTTAGCTTAAATTCCCTCCCCCAATTTGACATATAGTTTTCATTAACTAGTCTTTAGCTGCCTGCATTCATGAAAAAGTTTTCTTCTTACTGTCTTTTTTCTTCCCTTTTGAGTAACAGAACATGGCACATCCCGACAGGATATTTCTTCAATTTGCCTGGACAGCCTAATTTACTTTTTCCCTTCAGTGTATTCTGTTCATTAATGACACATCTTAGTTCATCACATATTTATCTGTCTTAGATAATTTAGTATTTAATATCTTTGATATCTATCCTAAAATTTTAGTGTTCCACAATTCACTTTAAGCATTTTAAATACAAGGTTAGTAAATAGTGTTCTAATAGGACTCTAACTACATGGGACAGGGATTCACCTAAATAACTTCAAGAAAAAATGGTGGGGGAGATAGTTATTATAGAAATGAGATCTAGGAAGGGACTTGGAAAGTCTCTGGAGAGCCTGAAGAATCACATCAGCTTTAAAAACCACCTTCTCTCTTTTTCTTTCTATCTGAATCTTTTCTCCTCCAGTATTTATGTTTCTTTTTTTTATTTTTTTTAAATTTTTATTTATTTATGATAGTCACAGAGAGAGAGAGGCAGAGACACAGGCAGAGGGAGAAGCAGGCTCCACGCACCGGAAGCCCGATGTGGGATTCGATCCCGGGTCTCCAGGATCGCGCCCTGGGCCAAAGGCAGGCGCCAAACCGCTGCGCCACCCAGGGATCCCCAGTATTTATGTTTCTTTATGACTTTAGCTTGTCATGACAGGCTTCATAGTACCCTTTCAGTTTTGTTTCTCACTTTTCTTAGTTCTAACTTCAGAGAGAGGACATTGATTGGGCCAACTCATGTTTTCACGTGGCATGGATTGCTGGCCACCATAGTAGATTGGTTTCTTTGGGCTCAAGTACTAACAACCTCCAGTCTGTTCAACTGGCTGTGTGGTGGAGTCAAATGGTTCAGAGCATGGTTGTCTATGGCTCACTCTACAGTGCTGTTTATAGGTAAATATATCCTGGAAGAGACAATAGATAGGCAAGGAAGGGCAATGACGGAAACCCAAAAAGCTTCCAAATAATTATCTTCTGGATTTATTTTAATTTCTTTCCAGTAACACTGAGTGAGTTCAGAGCAGTATTATAGCAATCCATTCATTGAGCATATCACCACTTCTTCATCTCTTCATATTTTAACAACAACCAAAATGGTTATAAAATATGCATTAAAAGACAAATGTAGTAGTCCCCCTCTTATCTGCAGGGGACATACTCCAAGACCCCCAATGGATACCTGAAACGAGGGATAGTCCCAAATCCTACATATGGTGTTTTTTCCCATACATACATACCTACAATAAAGTTTAATTTATAAATAAGGCACAGTAAGAGATGAACAATAATAATAAAATATAACAATTATAACAATATAGTGTAATAAAAGTTACGTGATTGTAGTCTCTGTCTCTCAAAATATGTTATCTGAACTCACCCTTCTTGTAGTGATGTGAAATAAGAAAATGCCTATGTGCTAAGATGAAGTGAGGTCAATAATGTAGGCATTGTGATGTAGCATGTGATGCTCTGTCGGAATGGGGATCATCTGCTTCCAGACCAGAGTGGACTGTGGGTAACAGAGGCCAGGGAAAGAGAAACTACAGAAAAAAAGGGACTACTGTAACCCAAGTAAACGATGGGCAAAGGATTTGAATGGACATTTCTACAAAGAGGATAGATAAGAAGCACATGAAAGGATACTCAGTATCATTTGTCATTAGGTAAATGCAAATCAAAACCACAGTGGGATCACCTCACATCCACAAGGATGGCCATAATCAAAAATGTAAAACACAAGTGTTAATGAGGGTGTGGGGCAACTCAATCCTAATATAACAGTGGTGGGATTGTAAAATGATGTAGTCACTGTGGAAAAGTTTGGTGGTCTCTCAGAAAGTTAAACAAATTTACCTTAAGATCCAGCAGTTCTACTACCAGGTTTATACCCAAGAAAATTACAGACCTATGTTCACACAAAAACTTGTATGTAAATATTCATAGCAATACTGTTCATAACAGCAAAAGGTGGAAACAACCCAAATGTCCGTCAACTGATAAATGGATCAACAAAATCTGATATATCCATACAATGGAAAACTAGTCAGCCATAAAAGGAATAAAATGCTGATATGTGCTACAACATGGATAAACCTTGAAAACATTTTGCTAAGTGAAAAAAATCAGACATAAATGGCCACAAGTTTGTGGTATGATTTCATTTCCAAAACAGGCAAAGCCCTAGAAATGGAAAGTAGATTAGTGGTTGCCAGGGGCTGGAGGAAGAGAGAAATGGGAATTATTGTTAATGGCTATGGGGCTTCTTTTTGGGGTGATACAAATGTCCTAGAATTAGATACTGGTGATGGCTGTAAAGCTTTGTGAATATACTAAAAAAAACACTGAATTGTATGCTTTAAAATACTGAATTTTATGACATGTGAATGATACCTCAATAAAATATTTCTGCATAAAAAACATGCAAAGGTTTCCAAGCTTTTTTATAGGAAAACACTACCAACAACTATTTTAGTTAAAAATATATGTATATTGCTTTTAAAAACCATTTTATTATTTAAAATGTGATTACTTGTTTTTAAATAAATAGAGGACTTCAGGGGCCCCTGAGTGGCTCAGTCGGTTGAGCTTTTGACTCTTGGTTTCTGTTTAAGTCATGATCCAAGCTGTGAGATTCACATCAGGTTCCGGGCTCAGCGGAGTCTGCTTGAGATTCTCTGCCTCTCCCTCTGCCCCTTCCCCTGCTAGTGTACGCGCTCTCTCTCTCTCAAAGAAATACATAAATAAATCTTTAAAAAAATAACTAGCGTACTTTAGTATTCTAGTAGTATGATTCAATTTTCAGCTAAAGGAAGATTTTAATAAAGTAGGATTTTTTCTTGTCTCTCAACAGTCTCTACTTCTGCCTATGAGGAGGAAGCAGTAAGCAGTTTGGAGATGCCATCTCTGCCTGAGTATAGATATAAAAGGGCCAACTTGCCACCTGTTAAGACAAGAGAATTTTCCTCATCACAAGATATCAATCAGTATATTCATGAAATTTCAGAATTTCAGAAGAAAAGTACAAAAAAAATTAAAACCTTAAGCAATGTGTTTTGGGGGAATCATCCCCAAAGAAAACGCAGAGGATATTCAGAAAAGTGTTGTCTTACAGGATGTACAGTAGAAGAACTGAGTATTGCATGCTTCCCATATACTGAATACAAAAACTTACAGAAACAAGTACCATCATTTGTGACTAAGATACACTAACCATCAGAGGAATTATACTAACTTAATAAAAGCTTAATATATTTAGTTTATTTTTGGTAATTGTCCTTGTAGGTTCTTTGCTGTGAACACCATCTAAAAGTATGTGCAGGCACTTAACAATACTTTGTGGTAGTAGTAGGAATCTCAGTATTTTCTTTGGTAACCCCAATTTTTCATATATTTTTTATATTTCAAGAAGATGTTGCTAGAGGAGGCACGATCCGTGTAAACATCTAAGAGTTACCTATTGATGCTTGTCGTTATGTTTGAAACTCTCTCAGGCTGCATCTGAATGGACTATGGTGTGTTCTGCGCTTCATCTACATGACATACAGACTGCTGCCCCATAACTATGTTACGGGTGAACTATGTTCACTCCAGTATGCCAATACATCTGTCCCACTGTCTTAAAAATAACTAACCAACTACCACTCCTAGCAGGAGCCCTTATACTGTAATAGTAGGTAGGCTTCTAATTCCTTGAATTTTATGATAGTCACTGATCGGAAATCTTCAGTTTCTGAGGACTTAAAGCGAGTTCAGTGAATGTCTCTAAGTTAGAAAACCTCTCCAAGATACTCTGCTTTGCAAGTACTGATATAATGTGATACTCTGTTTTGCCTTGATCTGGATAGCTGCTGACACTCTATTGTAACGGTGTCAGTAGTACCTGGGAATTTGTTAGAAATGCAGTTCTCAAATCCCACCCTAGATGTACTGAATCAGAATCTCTGGGTGTGGGGCTCTGCAATCTGCGTTGTTACAGGCCCTCCAGCTTATTCTGAAGTCAGGTTAACGATGGAGAACCACTGGTAACAGTCCTATGGAGTTCTGTCGAAGTCCTACTATTTATGTGCTTGCATATCTCAACTCACTATGATGTTGTAACACTAAGTTTTCGGTGAATTTTCACTTGGATGTCCACGTATGAGATATCTTTAATGGTACAAATTAGAGAAAAGCTTAATCCAAAGAATTCAAAGTGGAATTCATACTTTCCACCATTAGTTAGGAGGCAAGCATCATTTGAGACATTTCTCTGGTTTCTTTCTCAAATATGTACTGTAATGTTCTTTACAAATGAAACTTTTATTCCTATTTGGTGCTGTTATTTCTTGGACAAAGGTTCTTTTTCACATGTATCTATATCGTATACATTTACATTAATAAATATGTTTGAACTTTTTTTTACCTGTTCCTGGGTAGTCTACATTATCTTTCTAAATACGAGGAGCCACCTGTTTAGAAACAGAATGACAGATCACATCATGATTTAGTGGTGGAATAAGTCTGCTGGTGTTAGATGAAAATGCACTAGTGAGAATTGCCTATGCTTAGGTTAAAATGCAGCAGTGCACTTGAGCCCACTTTGAGTTATAGGTTTGTCCTTGTAGCTTAAAAATACAGTTTGTTAGCTTACTGATATACACACATCAGAAGTCCAAATTAGAAAAGCATGAGATTGAGGTAGCCTGGGCGGTGCAGTCAGTTAAGTGTCCAACTCTTGATTTCAGCTCAGGTCATGATCTCAGGGTTGTGAGAGCAAACCCCATGCTGGGTGCAGAGACTGCTTGATGGTCTCCCTCTCTCTCTGCCCCTCCCTACTCTTAAAAGAAAAGAAAATATGATATTAACCAAGTGTGTTATTTGCATAACTGTATACTTCCCAACACTTTAAGAATTTGCATGTTAGGGTGTATATTAATTGGTTTTTCGGTTTAATGCCTATTTTCTTCTTTTTTTTAAGGTTTTATTTGTTTACTTAAGAGAGAGAGAGAGCCAAGGGAGTAGCAGAGGGAGAAGGAGAAGCAGGCTCCCTGCTTAGCAGGGAGCCTGGCAAGTGGTTCAATCCCAGGATTCTGGGATCATGACCTGAGCCATCCAGGCGCCCCTAATGCCTGTCTTTTAATATATTTGTGCTAATAATGATTTTGTGCATTTGGATAGAACTGATTCACATTTTTCTTATGGACTCCTCAGAACAATCCTGACGCAGGAAAAAGATTAAAGAAAGCTGATATACTTTGATATTAAGCAACTTATTGCAGCTTCTTTATGTTCAGTTACTTGCTAGTTTGTGGTAGAGCTGGATAAGGATTTTAATCCTAGCATCTTGTTCAATAATCCTGATATCAATAAAATCACGAGCAGAAATCATCCACGTTTTTGTTTGGAGTTCTTTTATTTGGCCTCTACTCTGTTTTGACTTCTGTGTGGGTTAATAATCTATTGGCCCTCTGCCCTAAATCTCCTGTTCTTTATTCTGCTTTTTGATGCTGAGACTTGGATTTTGTACACCAGCCTTTTCCTTCACTAACCGGCTTCCTGTGAGAGTCTATTTGCAGGGTATTAGAGGTGATCCCTTGCCCTGCTTCTTTCAGCATCACCCAGCAGCATTTCTGCCCACTGGCAGTGACAGCAGTTTTTTGTTCTATCCTCAACTTCCATGACCAGCTTCATCATCTTCCTTCAGAGATACTAATCCAGCTGCCTGGTGTCCCTTCCTAAAAGGTCTTTCATCTCAGGGGCGCTGGGGTGGGGGTGGAGGAGGGGGGCTGGCTCGAGCTCCTGTAGCCCCAGCACCAGCTGGGCAGACAGTGCATGCTCCTCAAAATCTGGGTGCCAGCTCCATGGCTCCTTTCCTCCAAGCTTCCAGGCTTCGATAACCTCACATTCTTTCCTTTGTGTAGGCATGGTAGGCGCTTCCTAACGTCTTGGTTCTTGGTTTTTGTTTTTAATCTCTGCACGACTTTACTATTTTTCTTTTTTCAATCCTCTAATACAAGTCTAACACTTTATATTAAATTTACTGTTAAATTTAATTTATAGTTACAAGTCTAACACTTTATATTAAATTTACTGTTAAATTTAATTTATTAAATTTATATTTATAATTAATTTAATTCTAATTTAAATAAATTATACTTCTATAATTTACATTAAATTTACTGTTAAAATACTGGATGTGGTTTCTGTTTTCTTGGGTGGGGCTTAAATGATAAAGCCCCTGCCCCCCACCCCCAACAGTGGTTCAGAAGGTGGTTTTGAATTGTTTTAGGGCAAGGATGGTAGTAAATAGGTTTCATCTTAAAAAGGAAACTCTTAAATAACTAGAAGTGGCTTCCCTGTTTGCAAGTCAATCCAGGCCCCATTACCGTTATCACTATGGATGTCTTTCCTTTTGTAGAATTGAATATAAGTGGAGTCATATGGCACATAGTCTTATGTCCAGCTCATTTCACTCAGCATAAGGTTTCTGAGATACCTCAGAGTTGTTGCATGAATCAACATAAATTTGTTCCTTTTGATTTTTGCTTAGCATCCCATTGTACTAGGAATAAAGCTGCTATGAACATTCATGTGCAAGTTTTCCTGTGAGCATGTTTTTATTTCTCTTGGGTAACTATGTATACAGGAGTGGCAATGCTGTGGCATATGACAAATGCTTACTTAACACCATAAGAAATAGTCAAATGGTTTTCCAAAGTGAGAACCAGTTATTCCATCTTCTCACCAACACTTAGTATTGTTAGTCTTTCAAATTTTCTTGTTCGTTTTTTAAAAACCTGGCCTTTGAACATATTTAGCCATAAAGTGAAAAAAACTACGATCTGAATCCTGACTTATATTTTCTTGACATAGTCTTTTTAATTTTAGCTATTCGAGTGAGAGTGTTGTATTTTAATTGGCATTTCCTCATGACTCATGATGTTGAGCCTCTTTTCATATGCTTATTGGTCATTCATCTTTTATGAAGTGTTTTTACAAATCTTTTGCCTGTTTTCAGTTTCTTTTATTAATGAATTCTAAGAGGTTTTTCATATATTTTGATACAAGTGCTTTGTCAGATATATGAAATGTATTTTCTCCCACTGTGTCTTGCTTCATTTCTTTAAAGTATCTTTTTTTAACTTATTTCTTAAAGACTATTTATTTAAGAGAGAGAGCAAGCACTTGAGTAGGGGGCGATGGGAGGGGCAGAGAGGGAGAAGCAGACTCCCTACTGAGCAGGGAGCCAGATACGGGCTCCATCTCAGACCCTGGGATCATGACCTGAGCCAAAGGCAGATGCTTTACCAACTGAGCCACCCACGGGCCCCTCCGTAAAGTATCTTTAAAATAGAAGTTTTTAATTTTGATGAAATTCAATTTGTCTATTTTTCTCTTATAATTGGGATGTTTTGCATTATATATCTAACAAATCTTTGCCTTTTCCAAGTTTAAGATATTCTAAATTTTCTTCTACAACTTTTAGTTTTAGCTTTCATGTTAGGTCTATGATTCATTTGAATTCATTTTTGTGTATGGTGAAAATAGAGGCCAAGGTTTATTTTTTCCAAATGGCTAACCAGCAGTTCTAGCGCATTAATTGTAAGACTTTTTTGTCATCCAGTCCACCTTGGCATATCTTAAAAAAATCAGTTGACCATGTATATGAGTGGGTTTATTTCTGATATATACTGTTTCATTAATCTATATATTTATCCTTATGGTGACATCACACTGTCTTATTACTGTGGCCTAATTTTAAGTATTAAAATCAGGCAACCTAAGTTCTCCCACCTTTGTCTTCTTTTTAAAAATTGTGTGAGTTATTCTTGGTCCTTGCTATTTCCATATAAATTTCAGAACAACCTTGTTAATTTTTATAAAATTCTGCTGAGATTATGATTGGTACTGCATTGAAACTATACATCATTTTGAGGAAAATTGAGTCTACTGACCTATGAACATGGTATATGTCTTTCCATTTACAAATACATTTTTTTGGTTTTCTTTAATTTCACCACTATTAAAAAGAAAAAAAAATTTCACCACTATTTAGTAGGTTTTAGTGTATAAAACTTATAAATACCTTGTTAAAAGTATCCCTAAGTACTTTATTTCTATGCTATTTTAAGTGGTATTTTTAATAATTTTAATTGTTGCTAGTATATAGAAATAGTAAATGTTTATATTTTTGCCATGCATCTAGCAATATTATAAATTCCCTTAGTAAG